TCTTATTATCATTTCATTTGGGATTTTATTCCATGCTGCGGCAATCCAGTTTGCCAGCTGACCAAGCGAAGCACACTTGATGCGCTCAGTTGGGGTGAACTGGCGTTCCTTCGACGTAAGCCAGTCGGTGTAGTGCTTACGAAGCCTGTCTTTACCATGCTTTATTGCTAAACCATTGAGAACACAGACGTATGTGTGATCGGCTTACCATGTTACATAACATTGTGCACAATTCCGTCCGCACAGCCACACCCATTTCGTTCACAAATCATCCTACCCATGTGACTCGCCGATTCAATCCATTGAACATGGTGCCATTCAGATGTTTTATTGATTGTTATAAATACTGTTTTTTTCCGTGCACAGTTGACACTTGGAATAATCTGGACACTACTTTGAAACGACTACCGCATGCGCTGTTTGATAAACAAGTGTCCTATTATGTAATTTGAAGTTTTTAATTTCGCTGTTCCTTTTGTTTCATCATTTATTGTTTGTTGAACAGGTGTCTAATCACGTAATTTTATGTTTTTATTTCTGCTGTTTTTGTTCGTTTATTGTAACCATTCCTTCAATGTCTCAAACATGAGACAGCAGTATCTGTAAACAAATAAAGGGCTTATTAATTTAAAGGGCGACGTCAAGCAGCTGGAGTTGGCTGGTCATGCCACCAGGAATTGTGGCTGTGTCCATACCAGCACGAGAAAGCGTAATCTTGACACCGTCAGTTAGATGGCCGCGGTAGAAGCAGAGGACTAGAAGTGAGTGCTTGAACAATGCGGCCACTGGGCGGCGTTCCCAAACCATTCTCACCCAGTCCTCCATTAAACAGCTGGACGTCTATTCTTTCTCGTGAACACGCACAACAACATTCCTGGGGAACTTTCGCCCACTGGTACGGTTTTGCGTTTGAAAATTATGAATGGAGGAAGTTTCCACCTATCGGCGCTGCAGCACAACATAAACGTTGTTCACTGTTTTTCGTAACCCGCCGTCCTGAGCTTCAATTCCTTCGCACCCTTCTTGTTCACGGTGTACATCATTGGCATGTCAAAGAACACTGGGGTCTTGTCAGCATTCACAATTTGTCCCAGTTGGTAGCCATTTTCCCGCCGTTTGTTCATTACATACAGCTGAAACTTCACGGGCTTCTCCTCAAAGTCATTTGGAAGCTTTTGACACCCGGAGGTCCATCGTCGCAGGCTGAATCCAAGCCGTTTCATGAAGCGTGTTGTCCAGCCCCTGCTGGCTTTAAAACAGGCTCATGAGGTGCCCTCCGCGATGGTGACTTCTCTGGCCTTCGCCTGAATAATTTCAGTCGTCATGGGTATTCCCGCTTCCCTCTGTTCTCGAACAAAATCACAACAACTTCTTCCACCACATGGTGTCGGCCGGTTTTTGGTCTGGTGAACGCTATGCGGGTTGCTTGCTGCACAATCAAAGAATTCTGCACGTTGATTTCGCCATGGTCGCACATTTTTTTCGTGCACGCTGAACTCTTGCTGGCCTCGTAGGTTCAATGTCTTTTCTGCAATGTAACACGACCTTCCTCTTAAGGGGAGATGCTACTAGAAGACATTTTTTTTTAATATTCACCCTAGAGCAATGAAACTTGAGCTGTTTATGTACCTTTTTAAGCTGATTTCAATTATATAATTAGTTTTCTTGCAAGTTGCATACTTTTAGCTTTGCAACAAGACAAAGTGAAAACCTTGACCTTTTTGCCCCCCCTCTTTCCATCCCTGAACTTCCATTATTTTTTACCATTCATGGTTTATAATGTTTGAAATAAAGTGCAGAATGCAAATAACTAATTAGGAAGCACATACAAAATATGTAATAGGCGTGAAAAATAATAAACGTAAAAAGACCATATTTCACCTACCCTAGAAAGGTTTACATACATTTTTTTATTATGCAATAAAATATTGAAATTTAAACTATGAAATTGCATTTTTCATACTTTACAAAAAATTTGGGCACAATTTCGTGCAGATCCGAGCGCTAGAAGTGCCCGAAAAAAGAGGGACACAATGAAAAAAAATGGCAAAATTTGTGTTTTTAGAAAAACGAGCTTTAAAGTTAAAATTGAGTCTTTATTTATGAAAGATATCATTGAATCTGATGAAATTTGACAACCAACAAGAACAATCCTTCTTGTAGTGGCCACTGCCACTAAAAGACACCAGCACCATAAGTTTGTCCCTCTTGGCTTTTTCGAGCCAAATCCTCACAGACATTTCGCTCACAGACAGAGCCATGAAACGCTTGCCAAACTTCCGCTCCATCTGGCAGAGCCACGTGCCAACTGCAAGCTAGGAAGAAATTCGACAGGACTGCGAAACCCAAGTCCAGTATCATGCCATTTTGCGGCCATGTTTGTGCCACATACCGTCATACATAATGGCAATGTCGTCCCTGCCAAGTTCCCTCACTGCAAGCTCTTTCGACCTCACAAGATTGGCGCTGACGTCATCCATTGCCGCATCACGAACTTTCCGGCTGCCGGGTGTGAATGACTTTTAAAGCATTGGCTTTTGCAAGCCAACAACTGCCGCAAATCGGACCAGCTGTTGCCTATTCCTACAGAGCGCCACACAAAAAGCGCGCACAACGGCTTTCACTTGCGAGCAATGTTTTTTTTTTTTTCATTCATAACGGAGATAATTACACGAGAAAAGCATTGTTCAGCTGCGCTGCTCGACAAGCCATGGACCCCACAAAAAGAGGCTTCACAGCACATACAGGCACGCAGCGGCAAGTGGCAGTCTCCCGATCTGTACCACGTGATAAGCCAGTCGTGGCGCTCAAAAAACGTGCAGAAGCGTGCTTATCTTTATTATTTCTTGCGCTGCATCAGCGAGGGAAACTGTTGTTATTTGAAGAGTGAGGCTCGACTCTTTGGCTCATTCGATGAACAATGGCGAGTGGCGGCGCATTATCGGCGGGAAGTTGCTCGAAGACTGCACACTTTGGACTTTTTAACAGGCACCTTGTGCTCTTTAGTTGCAATTTTAAAGCATTTCCAGTTAAGTCTCGACCTGTATTTTTTTTTCATAACAGTAGAGGTACTAATCTTATCAAAACAGGCAAAAATAAAAAAGTGGTAATTTTGAAAAAACTTGCATTTTTAGACCCACATCACCCCTTAAACGCCGCGCTGTAGTGGCACCGCTTGGTTGGTGCCATTGAATCTGAAGCACAATTGACACAGGCGTTTCGCGAGCAATAGGCACAACTACACTGCACGATCGCTTTCAGAAGAATGACCACTGACCAACTCCGCGCCGTCCACCACGCGATAGCCAATAGGTGGCCAAGGTGGCAACAGCCAGGTTAAATATTACTTTTTTGGAAGCCGGGCTTGGCTAAGAATTCATTTCATTTTAAACTCCATTGAGCAAATCAGGTATTTCTATTCTAACACAAAGAAGGTGTTCTGAGCACCACAGAAAAAAAAAGTTTAGTTTTTGTCCACTAAGTATTACAGCTAGGTGGCATTAGCGCCGCCCGATCTAAAGGGTACAGCCGCATCAATCTATCCATTCGTCTGCGGTAATCACGTCTTCCCATTTTTCCATGGCTTTTCAAACATAAAATCTTGCGGGCTCGGCGACCCTCACTGCGTGAATGTGGGACTGCGCGATTTCGGGACAGTGGACCGTACGAAAGCGATAGGGACCACTATTCTCCCGCTGAACAGGCCTCAGCAGCCTCATCACCGAGCACCTACCGTAGAATGTCGTGAAAATGATCCTCCGGCATGCAAAATCGGTACCTTGAGATCCACGCATTGAGAACCGTAATGCCGCTAGCGCGGCCAGGCCTTCAGGCAGGTGGCAGCAGCAGCCAAATCGTGGTACTCGAATCTAAGCCGGCCCCGCACTTTTTCAGATCATGTTTTCAAAAAAAAAAAAAACATCGGCTTAGATTCGAGTATATTCGGTACTTCAAGTGAGACACAATGCTGCCACACCTGAATTCCGTCAATCTTTTTTCTTATTTAGCTGCGGCTACCACTACGTCGATGCTTTCCTTGAACGGAAGTCTAAGCCCAGCAGCATATAAACTTTGTCAAGCAACCTTGTCGCACATCATGTGAGCAGGGAGGCCCTCTGCCCATGCTTGGCATAGTTTGTCTCGTTCACTTTGTGCAGTGCACATGATTTTCCCTAAGGTGTGATTTCCGTTCATCTGTGAAAATCTAGCAGTACGAATTTTTCAAAAACTGTGAGGAGTGGCAACTTTGCGTGAGAGCGGAAAGCATGGCGTCAAAGCAGTGGAAGTCACTAACACTACAAAAAAAGTTGCCCTAATTAAGGAAGTGGAGAAAGGAGGCCGAACGAAACATAGTATCTCGCTGGAATTTGGCATTTTTTTGTATATGCTTTCGACGGTGCTGATAAACAAACAGAAGGTGCTGGATGGATTTCAACAGAGCTTGTCGAGCTAGCAAAAGCGGCTTTGAGAGTCAAAGTCCCCAGACGTTGAAGCGACACTGATGGTATGGCTTCAAAATAAGGTCGAATGCAGCGGCGGGTAAGATCGACTGACGCGATGCGTCAAGCAGCTGGAGGACGCCTTCTTAAGCCCGAGTACGACCTCAAAGCAGACGAACATTAGGAAGTTTTTCTCTGCTAAATAAAATGGCGGTGCGGCCAAACCCTGCCAGTTAAAGTCTCTCTTAGTTACCTTTTTTCTTTTTTAAACCTGCATGACAAGAAATATTAGAAACTGCCGCTGAAAGCCGGTAAGTAGTAGTGATTTTTCTGAAAAGCGCTCATTTATCCCGGTGATTAGTAGAACTTTGCTTGTCTCAAAACTTCACCTAGTTTTTACGACTTCGAGTTGACGAGGTATTACTGCACCACTTGGCTTTTTTCATTACAAAAAAAACTTTAGAAGACATTTGTGAAAGCTAGGTCAGCTAATCATGCTGTCTCTATAACAGAACAACATTCAGTCAAGCACGGCTCAACTGTTTACTGCAAAGTACTCACCTTGGCCACATTCCTCTGGCACCACTAGCTCCCCCACTGCACCTGCGGCAAATGATGCAAAAGGAATAGAAGTATCCTTGGCATGGCTCAGCTTGCGGCTGGGGGTTCGACATGGACTCGACTTGGGGGACACCGCGGCTGCTCGTCTACCTCCACTAGACTGTTGTTAAAAAGAAAAAAAAAAAAGCTATGTAATTTATGCCAGGAGAAAATAGCAATCTATATAAGTAATGATGGTCTCCAATTCAATAGGAAGATTTAACTTAACCACAAATGATATTCTCTACAGCGTGGCAGGACAACAGCAATGCTGGCAGTACATTTTTAGCAAATTTTTTTCAATGTGTTTTAAAAAAGCATTTTTGTATCACAAAAGCATGTGACCCACAGAAGCTTTTCTGAAAGTCTGTACATTAACAAATGTGTCACAGCCACCACATAAAATAAGCAACTTAAAGGGCCACTCACCAAGCCCCATACCTAATTTCGGTTGGACCGTTGAAGTTTTTGAGTATGAGAAACATTTTGCCACAAAATGTTTTTCTTTTTCAATCGGTCTATTACGAGATGAGAAAACCTTTCTTGAGGCGGTGCGAAACGAGGATGGGAGGAGGCGAGCTCAAAAACCCTTGCCACTCCTCCATGTAGCCTTCGCAAGTCAAATCTCCTCCCTACCCACTCTGGCATCCAGCCAAGAGGTCACGTATGCATGACGTGCCCGAACAACCCCAACCCCGAGCACGCAAGTGGAGTTTTTTTGTTGTTGACTAGCGTTATTTTTAAGTTTACTGCCTGTTTCTGCGGGATGGTTTGGAAACACTGGCTTACACGCGGTAGAATATATGAGCACAATGAGTGCGCAAACGCGTAGGAGCATTCTACAGCTGTCGTCTGCTTGATGCACTGACTGCTGGGACACGAACGCATGCGAAACGCCAACACATTAGCCCCGCATCTCATTGCGATTCCCGGGAGAAAAATGAAGAAAAGACACTCACTCACATTCCCTTATTGGGTCTCATTATTTATCAGAGTTTCACTAATCTCTTCAAGAAACAAATTACACAAACTATGCATGTCGTATAAATCATTTTCGCTATGTCACATGCCACTGTCGGCAACGTCAGAGCACAGTCGTCTACATAGATGACCAACGTCGCTGCACTTCCGTGTACGTAGCGCCATTCATGCGTGCACGTAATGCCCTCATTCTTCGTGCGCGCGCCCGCCAAAGAAAGGAGGAGCAGCCTTTATCTTGAAATTTGACCCATTTCTGCAGTGCATAGCATTGCAAATTTTGGCAGACGTAATCATGAACGCCTCATCTACACATTGCGCTTGTCAGCTGAAAATTGTCAAACCTGGTGAGTGGCCCTGATTGGTCACCAACAACAATGATTGGTCACCACTATATCAGCCATCTGCCAACTCTGACTACACCCACAGCCACATGATAGTGTTACTTGTGCTACTAATACTAACATTGCTAGCACCATTCTGGTCACTGTTAAACTAGGAAGCTATGAACCAAGAAATAGTCAAACCTAAACATATCGACTGCGAAGACGATCATAAAAGTGTTATTTGAATAAATAATTTGATACATAGAATATTTTATTTATCAAAAATATACTCAAACAAACTGTACAATTGTTCGATATAGGCAACAACTTGTTATACATAGGTTTGATATATGAAAGTTTTACTGTATATGGCAGCTGAAAAAGCAACATGACAGGTTATAAACTGAGACATGAATATAGTCAATGATTTATCAATATATTGAAATGCACTCGATGGTTCAGGCTTCCAACAGCACCAACCTACCCTTAGACTCTGTGCATTACAATAACTAAAATTTCAGACCAATCAAGGGCTTACTAATCAATACTCTGGGCTTGTTTAACGACCTATTTTTATAGATGGCACATGCGGTCATTGCCAAGAGGCACCCGCACAGCCACTGTTGAGTGAAATCAGGGCCACCAAGAGAGCATATCTTTTAAATGCAGCTGAATCTCAAGTTGCAGGCCATTTTCATCACGATCATCAAAACTACAGTGCTTCAAATGTGAATTCTTATCATTGCTCCAGTTGCTGCTGCATGCTGCTGTGATGGGGCACTGAATCATATGCCATTCTGGTTTAACTGGGCAAGCTTCGTAGTAGTACTGCCCATGTCAACAAAGCTTTGAGCCCGAGTTCATCGCAGCACTAGGCCCATAGTAAGAAACTACTCCAATTAACTTTAATATATAGTCCGGAATGTTCAAGTGGAGCGTTGTGTCAACTATATACTTGCAGCTAGTACTGGTGCCACTGACAAAGCTCTGCAAGTTTAAGACAACAATGACACAGAAAGCTACTGTCATACAGCTGTAGAGAACAGCCAGTCACTGGTAGAGGTAGCCCGAGAATTCAGCATTTAGAAACTAAACTTGTGTCCAAGCAACTACATGTAATTGACCACTTGTCATTTAAATTATTTTAACAGCAAAACTGTTTAGGCTATAGGTAGTGCTCTATCACGTCGAACTTCGCAGGTGGGTATGTGCCACAACGGTGGAGCAAGCTCCACTACCAAGTACAGCAGGTGTACGCATTAAACAAAAATTCTCATTGATTTGAAACAGAAAGAGAGAGAAAGTGACATAAATAAAAAGAGAAAAGTAAAGGAAATAAAGACAAAAATAGCCAGAGAACAAAATAAAAAGAGAAGGCAACAGACACGAAAAAGAGTTTTTAAACAGAGCAAGACAAACAGAAAGACAGAAAAAAAAAGGACAGAAAGGGAAAGAAAAAAAGCAGAGGGGGAGAAAGGGATAGAAAGAATAAAAGGAAAGCAAATAAAGAAAATAAAAGAAACATACAGAAAAAAATAGATACAAAAAAAGATGTTCCACTCTTCCTTCAGGCTTGGCACCACTGTTGCGAAGCTGCTATAACTTATGTTTCATATTTTTGTAATTTATCGATTACATTTTGCTTGGTAACAGTCACTGCAATTCAATTACTTTTTTTTTCCAACTCATCACAGGTAAACACTTACTTCATTCAATAAACAAACTGCATGTAACAAGAGATGCAGCTTTTTAGTATTTGTATTTAAGACAAACTAAAGAATAAAGAAGCAAACTCTGCCTCGTGAAATGCTCAAGCTTCATAGATGCACACATTTCAGCAGGCCCTCTAGATTTTTCTCCTAATCTCAACAAACAATTCGAAAGCTCCCAAGTTTGGCACCGTATCAGCACCTCATTACAATTTCGCTGCTGAGGCTTTTGTTTTATGAATTTGTAATCAGCGTCCAAAAGTTTGTGCAGGTCTGTTGGTGTATCTCCTTTGCAACATGAAATAACATGATGCAGATATTATTTGGAACAACCTTCCATCTTTAGTTCCACCTCCCTCAGAACTATCAGTTATTTCTTCTATGACCAAATGAAATGAACACTGCACAACTCTGATAAGCCAATTTTTAAGTCAAACATGAAGCTCTTACATCCGTACTCAAAATTTAAAATATTAACACACCCTTAATTTATAAGTTAAAAAATAAAAATGCTACACACTTCTATAAAGTAACACTACTTTTATAATCCAATACAGAAAAACAGCTAGTTGAGACAGCTTCACTTCGTGGCTTTTAGCCTTCGACATACCGAGCGCATAAGCTGAGTGGTGAGGCCAAGGTAGTTGTGAAGAGCTGTGACGGTGACCCGATGCAGACGTATCATGACTATTTGACAGAGGCGGATCATTGAGTCTGGATACTTTGTAAGCAGGATACGAAAGCTGTCATACCTAAGCCTGCACAAAGGATCACAAACAAGGTCAGGTTCCACCACTGTACATTTACAAAATGGTCAGCGAGAACAACAAAATTTCTAAAATCGCAAGACAAAAACACAGGAATGCACTTAAAGGACCCTGAAACAAAGGTGACAATATTTTGCAAATAGATGTAATAGTGTAGGTACTTTAGATCATTAACAGACAAATTTAAACGCTTTGCATAAAGTTTGTAATTTATTACAAGGTTTTGAGCATGTGCATTTCTATCAATCATAGTGTGCCACTAAACCAAGTTATTCAGCTGCCCTTGTTTTTGGATGCAGAATCATTTGGAACATCAATCAGGCTAGCCTCATTAGTTTCTCAGTGTTTGTAACACACGTGGTAGAACAGGAGAAAACGTGAGCAGCCACATCAGTAATGGCACCTAGTGGGACAGAAATAAACCATAAATACAGAAGGTGGCCTCCACCAACTACTGAAAAGGCAAAACAGCACAGAAAGAGGAGCAAAGTCTGGTCGTTCAATGAAGAAGTTGAGGAAAAAAGTACAACTTGTGAGAACAGTGTGTCACATAAAAAGGTTGAGACACCTGTAGGATAAAGGAAACCTCCTCGTTGGAATGATGGAAAAGAGGGCGACTTTATTGCCCCAGAGCACCATTGCATAAACACATCCCCATTCTCGGCCGATAAAAATCAGTCCAGTCCCGCACCGCATGCTCCATGGGCTAGTCCCGTCCTCGTCCTTATATTTAACACACTCCGGGGCCTGAGGTGGCAATTTTTAAAAAGTACAGTTTTTGTACAGGCCTCAGCAGCTTAAGAGTCATTCGGTATTCTTAGTTTGCATGACCGAACTATGCCATTTTTAAAAGTGAAGCCTGACAATGACGAACTGTAAGGCACCCACATTCTAAGCACACGGTCGTTCACGAGTACTTGTACCAAATCCAGGTCAATCGGTTTGTGACAATCTGGGTTTCATCCTGCGCCTGCTCCTCCAGCAGTGCTTCTGACGCTTGTGCTAAGCTCGTGTTTCTGAACGCGCCGCCATCCGTGAACTTGTGCTTTCACTGATCAGTTTCCGTTGCCACAAACATTCGTTATGCCGAATCTTCCCCGATGTTCTCCTCCGGACCCTTTTGAAGAGCTTTCTCGGTTTTATTGTCTTCGCTTCATTCACCCTAGAAGCACCAGCCTTCTCATTCGGTCAGCTGTGATGCTGTCTTAGCATTCTTCACTGTTATCTCGGAGTTGCTGTGCAAGACTGAAGTGGTAGGCGTCACATTGTGCCTCCTGTCACGCCTTCCTTCAGGTGTGTCGCGAACACTAGACTCGTGTTGCATGCTTTTCTTAAGGTCTTCTACCTCCAGTCGCAGATGGTTGAACAGCTGCTGTACCTGCGTATCTGACGAATGAGTCCTGTCAGGCCTTTCTGCTGAGCTCTGTCGTTTGAAGTGTTCCACCACGATGTCATGGGGAATCACCTTGGGTCAGAATCTCAAGAAACATCACAGCGTCTGAAACCTCCGATCGTCCAAGTACCTTGAGACCTCTCACCTTTATAGTCACCGTATCTAGGAGATTGCTCGTGGCGGTCACGTCAGTAGAACTTCGTACGGGCTTAAGCGTTCCAAGGTTTTCCAAGTACTTCTGCTCGATGATCCTCGTGTTTCTGAAGCAGTTGGTTAAGATTTCAATGGCATCTGCATATTAAGAATGCGTGACCTGAATTTCGTCAATCGCTTTGACCACTGGATCAACCAAAAGAGATTTCAAGTAATGAAATCTTTCTACATTCGTCAGACCGGTGTTTTTATGAATGGCATGCTTGAACACGTCCCGGAATGGCTGCCACTGTAGCACTTCTCTATTAAAGTTAACTAAGTCAAGCTTCGGTAGCCTTGAAGCATCACCGTTGGAACGATTTCCCGAATCCATACCTAGAGTAACATTATCGTTGAGTATGGGTAGGCCTCGGTCCACCGTCGTTTCAGGTCGAAGTTGCTCAATGTGATACGAGAGAAGGGACAGCGTTGCTGCAGCGTTGTCTTCATACTCCAAGAGTGATAGGTACTCCTCAGCTGCTTGTTCGTCCGTGAGAGTCTGTCCAGTTGTTCGTTGAGCACGCGTAGTCCTTTGTTTCAGTTCTTCAGTCGGTTGCACAGAACTCGAAGCGCCGGGGCGCTAAACTGGCTCGATTCAATGAGTTGGCTTGCCTCTTTACGAAGACCCGTGTGCAAAGCTCGTTGGGTCGCTCATTTGTCTTTGATCCAGCCCATCTTAGTTGGTGAAGAAGTCCTTTCATTGTCGGGTCACTCGTGTTGCTAATCCCGGGTTTCTTGGCACCATAAAATGTAGAATAAAGGAAGCCTCCTCGTAAGAAAGATGGAAAATGGGACGACTTCATTGCACAGAGCACCGCTGCATAAATGCGTCCATTCTCAGCCGATACAAATCAGTCCAGTCCTGCACCGCATGCTCCACACACTAGTCCCATCATCGTTACATTTAACAACACCTAATATTGAGGCAATGAAAAGACTGTGGTAGACTTGCCCTGTAGCAAAGGAGACTCAACGCAAAGTGTTGGACACAGCAAGCATTCAAGGCATGCCTAAACAATTGTTCTTGGAATTGAGAACCGTAACTAACGCAACTGACGCTGACATTTTAGTGTTGGAAGAGAAATGAAAGTTCTAGTCACGTTAAGCTTCGTTCACATCGAAACGTTTTTTATTGCATGGGCCAGAGTGAACTCATCACTTGAGAAATTAGAAGCATTCACACAGGATCTCTCGTCCCATGTGACAAAATGCTTTTTCATGGCCACAATGGGATGGCTACCCATTACCCTTGCCCACTCCCGCAAAACACACATTACTACAATTACCAGGCTGGAATTCCAGCAGTGTTGAAAGTGCTGCTGATATGCATGATATGCACAGCTGTGCTGGTAGTGTTTCCTACAGCCGCAACTGTTAATGCTGTATGCTAGAGCAAATGATAAAGCCCTGCATGCATCAGATTTTCATGGGCCAACATGACAATGCTTCCTAGACAGCTGCATCATTGTCCAAACTGAAACCGAAAGTGACCGAAACTGAAGGTAGTTCACATTATATGATACTAAATTATTTAGCAAGAATACAGTCGATCACACTTATAACGATAATGGTTTTAATAGTGTATTGGTTATAACAATGAAAAGCCTATGAACCATAGACTTTTGTATGCGCTTATTCCTTTTTTGCACTTTTTCCTACAGACATTGTGTACAATAGCTGTTGTAGTTTGATATGATGATGATATGTGGGGTTTAACATCCCTAAACCACCATATGATTATGAGAGACGCCGTAGTGGAGGGCTCCGGAAGTTTTGACTACCTGGGGTTCTTAAACGTGCACCCAAATCTGAGCACACGAGCCTACACCATTTCCGCCTCCATCGGAAATGCAGCCGCCGCAGCCGGGATTCGAACTTGCGACCTGCGGGTCAGCAGCCGAGTACCTTAGCCACTAGACCACCACGGCGGGGCTGTTGTAGTTGAATAAACAGGCTGAAATTTGTAAAAACTTCATTGCGAGTTTTCAATGGTCTTAACAATATATCGGTTATAACAATGACAAGCTGATGCACTATAGACTTCTGTATGTTTTCTATGGTAAAATAACCCATTTTCAGCTTTACCGCCAAGCCCCATTATCATTTATAACAATGAATTCTGTCTGTTGAGTGGTCGTGCAAAAGGGTAATAGAATGCAAAATCCTTGACAAAAAAATTGGCCCCGCATCTGCATGTTTCACTGCAAATGTCATCAAAAGACGACAGTCTTCTGTCTGAAGAGACTGAACAAAACATTTATTTGATGTTTCTGAGTGATAAAATCATTGAATTGTATTCTGGAGGCGCTGCGTTAGAGAGTCTCGATCCGTGCAGCAAGGCGAACGAGCGCATCAAGGCACGTAAGACACGAGCGCTATCTGGCAGTTATCTTCAAAAACAAAAAAAGGTGTGCGCGCCTGTCTCGAAGGCAATAAGGTGTAGAAAGCAAAGCGACGGGCAGGTGCCACCACCGTGTCGTCTTAGCAAAGCGTTAAAAGCACTTGCCTTTTCGTGCGTAGCGTTGCATTGTCAGCACAGCGTGCTAAACGCTACGGTCTTTAAAACTTACGTTTGCCTTCTCGAGTATAAAGGGACACATACAGAATATTGACGTGTTGTCATTGTGCCTCAGATATGCAAAATAATTGCTTTTTGTTTGAATATCGCAGAAGTATGAACACTGAAACTTGAGCAATATTGGTGGGTGCTGCAGATGTGGTTAAATTTTGGCCGTTTGAGGTACAGTTTCGGTGAACAAACAGACAAATGTACAGACAGACAGACAGACAGACCACAATTTTTGTGTCAAAGTACCCCAAGAAAGACTATCGTCTATAAAAATTCAAGCTCCTAAACCACCGGCCACAATTCCAACATCCCCCGATGCCCCCCGCAGAACCACAATATGCTTTTCTGCTAGCAATCGGACATTACGGCAAAGCTAACTTTTGAAATCTGCTATGACATGGGAATGGCGGTGGCTTCTGTAAATACAGTTTCGAACATGACATTGGCGTCGAAAGTAAAAATTTTTGGCATCCAAAACTCCAGACACTGTCATACATTGGTTCTATAGGGCTTGAGGTAGCCCCATGAAGGCGTGCAAACTTTCAAGCATGTCCAAAAATTCAGCAGCTTTGTCATTCTTATCACTGAAGTCTATTCGCACATCCTACCCAGTAATGTAGTTTTCTCACAACAGCCTGCTATCCACCTATTTCATTTTTTTTTCTTGTCACCAGTTTATAGCACTTAACGGTTATAACAATAAAATTTTCGTGGCACTTGAATATTATTATAAGTGGGCTCGACTGTATAAGATTCCAAGAGTGTATCATGTTTCCTGGAGCAATAAGATGTGTTTGAAACAAAGAATGTACAAACCACAAATTTGGTGTCTCAACC